AATTTGACTTGGGACATCTGCAGCATCACAGTCAAACGGATTTTGAAACAATCTAATTTCCTGAGCACTGGAATCCAAATCAGCAAATCGCTTCCGAAATTGTTCTTTCAAATCTGGAATGACTAAATTTGCAAACGAGGAAGGAAATTCAGCTTCACCCTTTTTATGCAACTTTGCACGGTATAGCATATGAACAAAGTTACAATTTTTCAATTGGCTTTCCAGAAGTATCAACTTTGCTCTGAATGCCTTGATAAGTGCAAATAAATCACAGACTAAGTTATTTTCGGCCGATCACGGTAGCCGAGCGGTCTAAGGCATGCACTGTCTTCGCTCGCTCGGAAGCCGGGATCGTGGGTTCGAATCCCACTCAGGGCATGGATGTTTGTGTGCGTTTTTCTGTATTTGTCTACAGGTAGAGGCCTTGCGATGAGCTGATCACTCGCCCAAGGAGTCCTACCGTGTGTGTAAGATCTAGAATACCGAAGTGAACGGAGTTCATGGAGGTAGGCCTAGGCCCACTGGGGCTGTAGTGCCAAGGAAAAAAAAAGTTATTTTCACCCTGCAACTTTAAATTCAAATGCTTCATACGGTTCACCAGATCAGCAAAAAACGCTCATTTCCAAAGCCACTCGGTATCTGATAAAAGTGTTTCGTGATGGTTTTTCTCGGTAAGAAATATATCAATTTCATTCCTGAGCTGAAAGAAGGGCGAAAGAACCTTTCCACAGCTAAGCCATCGAACTGCAGTATAATATGTCAGGTCAATAAGCTCGGAATCATATTGATTAGTACTCATTGGAAAATTAGTTCAATTGGCGCATTTCTGCAGAATTCTTTCGCGGGCCGGATAAAATCACATCGCGGGTCGCATGTGGCCCGCGGGCCGTAGTTTGGAGACCCTTGGTCTAGATAATGGACTCACAGAAGGCGGTGAGGTTGTCAGCCTTATGCGTCCGCAGCCCTTTAACCCCTCCCCCCGAATATTCCTGGTACTCATTTCTGTTAGAGGCTGAGTCGACAACAGGACCATATTGAGGCTGGAAGGATTAGGTAAATTGAAAAAATCAATGACTCCATTGGGAACCGAACCCACGACCTTCCGGCTTGTAGCATAGGGCCTCAACAGACAGTCAAAAACAATTCTGAGAAAATGGAGAATGCTAATAATTAAACTATATTTCTAGTAAATTATCCCAAGATAAAAAGATAAAAATAAAATCCGTTAAGGTTCTGAGAATATAGGAGTGTCAGCGATGGTTCACAAAAGTCTTAGGAAATAATTATATGATGGATTCAATGTTGAAAATAAATTTTACTTAAAATGCACACTAGTTCTTTTTCGATGTGTAGCTCATAATTGTTTCGTTTTGAGAAATATTTCTTCAAAAAGCAAACTGAATTTTACATTTTACAGCTCACTGTAGACGAAGATTGAGCTTAAAGATGTTTTAGTTCATACCCTCAGAATATGTTGGGGGATTTGCGACAATTTGCAGATCTCCATTATTCTCTGATAGGCAGGGATGGGAAGTCATAAATAAATAAAAGTGAAGTGGTGCTTGTGCTTAACTAATTAAACACTACGCCGCGAAGACGTGGATGCATAGAAATTTATATTTCTTATTTTTATGTCCGATTCTTTATAGATATTTTTAGGGTGTCGAATTGTTATGAAATCCCCAAACTCCTTAACGTAATTACAGAACTACACTGATGATCTGCTTGCACATATATGCCTGTTGGCAATAATAATACAAGTATCACAATTGGAATTACATGAAACCATGTTGGACGTGCTGTATTACGTAACAGATTATGAGAAAAATGTAAAATTATGAACATTTATTCATGAGCTTCAGAGGGGGTCAGTTTGTAACGGACGGACGTGTCGGGCACCATTTGACCCCTCTGTGAATAAGAAAGTAGTTTGTTGAGTTTTTTCAATTTTTTAATTTAGTATAGCATAGGAGTTGTTTGGTAGATCTGTAAGTTATTTATATATTTATATAAATTACTTATGGCATATAAAGTTTCTCAAAATCTGTTTAGTTACCAGAAAGTCCATGCAGGGGCTTGTCTCACGAACCTCAACCTTAGACTATTTTTCCATGGAGTCTCTTCTACTTGGATACAGCTCCCGAAAACTGTCACGTCTTTTCTTCGTAAGACTGTTCTGTTATCCCTTGGGGCAGCAGAGCCTGGCTTCTCGGGTCTTGGTCGTGTGTTTTCGTGTTTACCCTTTTAGTCTGAGCATACTTGTATCTTATATTCTCCCACTACAAGTGTTCGGCTACAAAGAGGCAATGATTAACATTGCAGCGATGTAGTGTTTCTTATTGTGCGAAATTAAGTACGTTATGTGTTTATTTCGAGTTATAAGTCCGCAATGCGAATAGGATTCTAAGATCCCGTGTAAATGCTCAACTGTGGGGAATTAGCGAGAATTGCAAAGGCGGTAGTACAATTTCAGTGAAGGTACTAAATCCTAGTTTATAGCAAGGGCCGAGAAGGCCCGCCCCTTACACATTCATTCACTCAAATCCTAATATACATGGAAAGAAGGAGAAAGAACTGACTTCAACGACATTTTTAGTGATTCACTGCAGCATGGATCTGTCTTACCATCATTTAGCGGGGAGCATAAAATAAAGTCGTGACGAATATATGCGGCAGGACCCGGTCAATTACAAAAGCAGTGTAGTTGGGTAGTTTGTAGGTCCATACGCTTCTCTGAAGAAGCATCTACACCATGAAAGTGTCGATGTGTCCGCTCTTCTGCACGAGCGACGCGTGGGCTTCAGAAGACACAGATAAGGGTAGGCGTATTTCTCTCCGACGCAAGGGGCATTGCATTTCTCACAAAAGGAATAAAGTATCCCGCTGAATACCACAAGAAGGCGCAGCCTGTTTCAATATTACTGTCCACGTACAATGAGCCTGTATTTGTTAAAGGAAAGTGATATTTTACCATATACTAAAAAATAGTCTTTCAAAATGTGAACCTTTAAATTAGAACACAAGCTGTTCTCTTTCTGAATTTTAGACATAGGAAAGGGTCAAATTGTATCGATCAGAGACTCACAAGAAGCTCACAGCTAACTAATTATTTCTAATTCTTGGTCTGTTCTGTTGTGGTCAAGATGGCCGAACTGCTAGAGCTTGCTGTGCTGGGAGTCCATCTTAGTATTTTAAATCGTGTTTGATTTACAGTCTTCTTGTTGCTATATGTAAGGTCTGTCCCCAGTATCCTTCTTAATGGTATGTGAGGTGTTTCCGAGTTGTTTTTTTTTGGGGGGGGGGGTATGAATCCCGTCCCATTAGGTTTCGTGATGGATTGGATATTTCGTGGCTATTGAGCTGTGTGTTATTTAAGTCCCCGTAGAGATTATAATATTAGAATGATCATGTCAAGAAGGATGAGGTGGGCAGGGCATATAGCAGGAAGAGGGAAGAGGAATGTATTTAGGATATTGATGGTAAAGCGAGAAGGAAAGAGACCACATGGAAGACCAAGGCGTAGGTGTGTGAATAATATTTAAATGGATCTCAGAGAGACAGGATGGGTTGGATTGGATTGATCTCGCTCAGGATAGGGACGGTAATGAACCTTTGGGTTCCATAAAATTCTGGGAAATCCTTGAGTAGCTGCAGATTTGGCGGCTCCTCAAGAAGGGCTCAGCTCCATAAGTAAGTGTTGATAGTAATACCGCAGCAACGGTTGACACCGCATAACCTGTTTTAATTCATTTAGCATTTTAAACACTTTTAATATATTTAATAATTTAGTCCTTTTAATTTTTCTAATCACAACTTGTAACTGTTATTGCATTAATTGGAAATTTTAATAATTTAATCTCAACTTAAATATGGATCCATATTTAATGCTTTGACACAGTTCATGGACTTGCGCTGTTGGTCTTCTATTGAATGAGGATGACCTAAAACGAAAGGTCGAAATATGTCACAATAAGAACTGCACAAATAAATAAATGTTGATATGATAATTTCTGTTTTCTCTTACTGAATATTATTGTTATTGTTGTTGTGTTGACTGCCCCATTTGGAGAATACGTTAAGACACACAACGGGATGCGTACTTCGAAAGTTATAAACTATTTTACTGCAAACACACCTGTTAACAGACATAGACAACAGGATAATGTAGTGGTAAAACTCTGCCAGCCTGGTTCGAATTTCGGCTGGGGTATTTCCATAACGGCCAAGGAATTTTATTCTGCCATTCACCATAGTCAATCAGATGATTTTCATCCGTATAAATTACATTACACATTCTTTGTAATGTAACGTTAAGGAGTAACTAACATTCAAAGAAGTGGCCACATCTCTTGGATACACATTCGGCAAGACTAGGATATAAACCCACAGAACATTAGATCTATAACCACGCGGTCTACATACCAACATAAATCTATTATACAAAGAAAGCTACAGTTTCGAGGTATCCAAATATTTCAGACTATTCTCATAATTTTAACACCTGTTATTACAATTTTACTGTTATACGTCGATGGTCAGAACAGATGACGAGAGCAAATATATTTATTTCAAAGCGCATATTTAAAATAATCCAACCACTAATTTATTTTAATATTATAATTACTTCCACATACTAGTCTGGAAAAGTGCAGCGTTTAAAGTCTGTTATATTTTATTCTCACTTATAGTAAAAATTTACTACACTAAAATTTCAAAACCTCGTTTGCGATCTCTTATTAATCATTCGGTAATCCCGCAATTCATGAACAAAACTTTTTACTTGTAAAGTATGTACCAGCTGATGAACGTCAGTACGGACAAACAAGTTGTATTCTTCAAATGCATAACTACTGAAACATTAATCAATTAACTAAGTGTTGTATAGGCAGACATTATACCAATGTTTAACTTAACTGTAAATTTGGCGTGTTTCTGTGTGTGTTATGAGATGATCCTTATATGAACAGATATTCTACAAGTTTTTTATATATTTCTTACAGTTCGAAAGGAGAACGAAGAAATGGTGAATGCAATTAGCAGAGAAGAAGGTAATGAATATAACAACACAGCGAAAGGGGTCACTGTAGGCAGCAGCCCCATGCCGCTAAGCCTCTGATGAGCCACTCAACAAAGCAGTTCCCTGGCCTTGACAGCCAATCCTACTGTCTACCGGCAAAGATACCTTGAAGATTCCTCAACTTCTAACACCTAATCCTTTGTATGGTTCACGCGTCCTTAGCATTTCAAAGTGTGGATGTATCCAGTATTATAAATGTTAACAAAGTGAAATATTTTCGGCAAAATTTCTTTGTTCCCAATAAAACTGTAGTATTTATTTCTTCGAGTTATCTAGCAGAAAGACATCAATATAAATTCAAGATAATTTAAATATCAGGCATTTCATACCAGATCAACAGCTTTTTACAGAAGCATGTAGCAACTGAATACTTTATTGGAATGATGCTTCGTATTATCACAGAACACAGAACTTAAATTTGCGTTGTCTTTCCATGTCACGAATTGCGAAAGTCTACAGTTCATCTGTTTCTATAATTTTTCTGTAAAATTTGTAATGCTAGTCCGTATTTTTGATGGAGGATATGCTGATACTGCGTGTCTTGAGTCGGTTTCAGTAGTACTTCGGAAAATTTGTCATTTGAACCCAATCAATGTCGTGGCCAGTGGAAGGACAACGATGGACTTTCACGATTCCAGGCAGTTGCTGCTGCCATCAGAAAAATGATGTGTTTCTGTTTCCGTTTCCATAATGTCCATCTGACTCATCCTCATGTATGCTTTCTCGTTCTCGAGTGTCAGTGAATGTTTACGTAAACGACCTTGAACAATTTTTTCACCTGCCATTTTCTTGTACCACGTACAGCATCAGAAAACAACAAGAATATTTACGACATCGAATTCCTGTGCAACTCGAGAATCAGGGTGGAGGCCCCAAGAAAGAAAAACACCATCGTGCAATGCACAAGGTGCCAGTGCTACGGACACACCAAATCATATTGCATGAAACCGTACGCCTGCGTCAAATGCGGAGAAGAGCATAATTCCACCAGTTGCAAAAAAAGCCCAAATACCCCACCAAAATGTGCGCTCTGTGGAGGCACCCATCCGGCCAACTACAAAGGATGTAACATATACAAAAACCTACAAAACGCAAGACGCGGAGCTCATTCATCGAGACTCACCGCTGCACACAAACCAAACCCAATCATCAACACGACCGATCTGAACGAATTCCCCTTTCTACCTACCACCCAACAACAAGTGTTAAACAACAGCAACAACAACAACAGCGATAACATCAACTTTGT